GGAGAGGTATTTTCCTGCTTCTCCATATTTCTTGTGGTCCTGCAGCGATTTCTAGTCATCTGGTGGATGGTCGGTTTCTTCCCAAACACGCGAGTTTTGGATGCTGGAGGCCCAGTTATCAGTGGGACATCTTCCTTTCTCCCCACATGGCTAGATCACAGGCGCCATGCATTTGACTTCTTAAGAAATTTGTGCATTTGGGGCCAACAGGTGGCATGGTGGTTGGGGTCCTGGACTCACATGTGGCCTACCATGTACGGTTCAAGTCCCAGGCCTGGCACTTCTTCTCTCACTTTCCCTTTTTCTCTCTCTCTTTGTCTTTCTCTGGTCAAATTAAAAATAATAATAATATCAACAAATGGAATTAAGTAAATAATTCTTTTTTTTTTTTTGAGAGGTTTTTGCTATAGGGCGCGTGCACTCACCAGACAGACAGAGAGAGACAGAGAGACAGAAAGTGAGAAATCACCCCCCAGGGGGGATGGCCACACCGCAATCCCTTCTCTTCCATTCTCCTCTCGGGATCTTGCGCACGCACGCACACGCGCCCGGCGTGAGTTTAAGCCACCGGGTACGGAACTCGAACCACAGTCGACTGACTACGTGGAAGTCCAGTGACATAGCCATTACGCTAACTGCTGGTCCCAATAAATAATTCTTAAGAAAAAAAGGAAATATCTGCACTTATCTAGTTTATTGAGAGAAGTCTTTTCACACAACTCTGCTGTATTAAACTTCTTTCAAGTTAATGTTTTTGCTCTGCACACTAATGCATAATTTAATATAGACATCATACTGATTTTTACTCTCCTTTCAGGGCTCAAAGTAGGGTTCATTTCCCCCTTTTTTAAAATACCACAGGGTATGTGCTGGCCTAAGAGAGAGCGTCCCCCACAAGCCAGTCTGCGGTCCCTTCTCTCCACCCTCCACCTGGGCAGGATCCTAGGCACAGGCGCAGTTTTAAGCCCTTGGGGCTCAGATCCACGCTGCAGTCTGCCCGTGGGATCCGGCTCTCTCCACAGCATTTAACCACTGCACCGCAGGGCCGGCCCTGACAGGCTTTTGATACTAAATAGCTTTATCTAAATTGCTTTATATCATATGAATAGCTTTATATTCCCTTTCCTTTTCTTTTTTTTCCTCCCAGATTTTTGCCATAGGGCATGTATGCTGTCCAGTGAGAGAGAGAGAAAGAAAAAGAATTCACCCTCCAGACGAGATGGCCATGCCACAGTCCCTCCTCCTCCTCTCAGGATTGTGGGTACCCACGCACGTGCACCCAGCGTGTTTCTCAATCCACCCATGCTGGAACTTGAACCACGCAACTGGCCGTGTGGGACCCTGCCTCCTTACCCTCCACGCAACCTGCTGGCCACTTACTATTAATAGTTCTGACTGTCACACTGAAAGCGGGGTTAAAATCTTCTAAATTACTTGTTCCAAGGTGCATAGTTAATAAATAACAAAAACAGAAAATGACAAAACCAAGACTAGAACCCGAGCTCACCAATTCTACCAGATCTTTTATTCGTAACAATGGCAAGTAGTGACAAGTAGGTGGCATGGTGATTAAGGTGCTGGATATTCCCACACGCCTAACCATAGTTCAAGTCCTGGACCTGATGGCTTGCTTCCTCACTTTCCCTCTCTCTCTCTCTCTCTATTTGTGTCTCTCTAGTTGAATTAAAATAAATGAATGAATAAATATAATTAAATAATTCTCTTTTTAAAAAAGAATGGTAGGACCAGCAGTTGGCACAATCGCTACGTCGCTGGACTACCATCTAGTTGACTGCGGTTCAAGTCCTGTACCCGGTGGCTTAAACTCACACCAGGCGCCTGTGCGTGCGTGCCCAAGATCCTGAGAGGAGAATGGAGGAGAAGGGATTGCGGCGTGGCCATCCCCCCCGGGGGGGGGTGATTTCTCGTTTTCTGTCTCTCTGTCTCTGTCTTTCTGGCGAGTGCACGCGCCCTATAACAAAAATACCACCCCCCCCCCAAAAATAGAATGGCAAGTAGTCCTTCTTTCAAAAAATATTGATAAACTTAAATCTGGGACAATTTTTTTTTTCTTTTTGAAATAACAAGAAATTAATACTCACATAAAATAAGAGAGGTTTATTTTCCTCCTAAACTAAGATATGTGAAGTCCAGGCCAGCATGTGGCACGGTGGTTAAGGTGCCTGGACCCTCGTGGCAGACTGTGCAGTTTGAGACCCAGATCCGAGGGCTTGAAAACGGATGGGGAGGGCGCAGAGGGGCTTTCTCGCTCTCACTCGCTCTTGCTCTCTGCCTCTCAGGCAAGTTCACATGCCCTATAGCAAACTTTCAAAAAAAGAAAAAGGGTATGCATAAATCCTTAGCACGGTACATGACAGAGTATTTGCAGTTGGGTCAGTAGGTGGCGCGGTGGTTAAGGCTCTGGACTCCTACACGGTCGACCAGGGTTTGAGTCCTGAACCTGGCTGCTTGCTTTCTCACTTTCTCTGTCCCTCTCTCTCTAGTGAGCACATGTGCCCTACAACAAATTAAAAAACAATAATAATAGGGGCCAGCAAGTGGCATGGTAGTTCAGGCACTGGACACCCACATGGGCTGCTTCAGTTCTAGTCCTGGGCCTGTCAGCTTCCTTTCTCATACTCTCTCTCTCTCTCTGGGTCTATAGTATATTTAAAAAATAAAACAAAATTTTAAAAAATTAAATAGTTTTTTAAGAAAAAAATAAGTATTTGCAATTATTATTTTCCTGGAAAGGTTTCCCTTTTTTTACCCCAGATATCAAAATACTGTTGGATTGGGACCAGCAGTTAGTGTAATGGCTATGTCACTGGACTCCCATGTAGTTGACCATGGTTCGAGTCCCGGACCCGGTGGCTTAAACTCACGCCGGGCGCATGTGCGCGTGTGCCCAAGATCCCGAGAGGAGAATGGAGGAAAAGGGATTGCGGTGTGGCCATCCCCCCTGGGGGGTGATTTCTCGCTTTCTATCTCTCTGTCTGTCTCTGTCTGTCTGGCGAGCGCACGCGCCCTATAGCAAAAACCTCTCCAAAAAAAAATACTGTTGGATTAAGGAATACGTAAAATTACTAAGTGTGTAACTTTTTAAAGATGTTGTCATAGGGCATGTGCACTTGCCAGAGAGACAGAAAGAGAGAAAGTGAGAAATCACCCCTCCCCAGTGGCAATGACCATGCCTCAGTCCCTTTTCCTCCATTCTCCTCTCAGGATTTGGGGCACGCACACACGTGTACCCAGCGTGAGTTTTAAGCTGCCTGGTCCGGGACTCGAACAGCAGTCAACTATGTGGGAATCCACAGCTTTAACTGCCACGCCACCTACTGGCCCCAAGAATGTAGAACTAACAATAAAAACAGGGGGCCAGCAGGTGGTGCGGCGATTAAGGACTGACTCCTGAGTGGTGTGCTACTCGGTTCCAGCCCAGACCCAGTGGTTGAAAATCACGCTGGATGTACGTGCGTGTGCACGTGCCTGAAATCCCAAGAGGAGACTGGAGGAGAAGGGGTTGTGGCGTGTCCATCCTCCCTGGGGGGTGATTTCTCACTTTCTGTCTCTGTGTCTCTCTCCATTTTTCTTGCACTCTATAGCAAAACTAAAAACAACAACGAAATCATAGCTATTATTTAGAGAAAGCTGATGTCTAATGTTTATCGTGGAACCCCATGATCCTTTTCTAGTAATTGGGTGTTACTTGGCGTTTAATGCATGGCTTTGAACATCTTACGTTTATGAACTGGTATCTAAAACATCGAACTGTTCTGCTTTTGAAAAGCACTGTTTTTATCATTATTTAAATCTCCACGCAGATTCACCAGGCATGCAAACTGATCTGCAGAAAGTGCAAACGCCACGTGACTGACCTCACCGGGCAGGTGGTGCAGGAGGGGACCCGGCGCTACCGGCTGTGCAATGAGTGCCTCGCCGAGGTCGGCCTCGACAGCCTCCCTGGGGGCCTGGAGGCCGAGCAGCATCTCGTGTCCCCGGCAGATGGAGAGAAGGGTTCCAGGTGGCCCTTGAGCGAGGATGAGAACAGATCGTATGTGGAGATCGTCGAGGACGGGTCTGCTGACCTGGTCATACAACAGGTGGATGACAGTGAAGAAGAAGAGAAGGAGATAAAGCCCAACATTAGGTAGCTCTCTGCGAGCCCGACAGGCACGCCCGCGATGTCGCTGGCCTCCTCTCTCTCCCTGGGCAGGGTCTGGTTAACAGTTTCCGTTCTGACTCCAAGAACTGGCCTGGTGTAACTTGCATGCTTTCTTCACAGGCCGTAAAACCCATTTTGAACTTTGCTGCCCTAAATACATTGCTGCACTGAAAAGAAAGACCTAGCTTGCATCGGCGTGATGGATGAAGTTACACTTACTTTCATTACACAGAACCTACTTCTTTTCATATTGGACGAGCTACTTAGCAGACTTTTTCAAAGAAAATATTTTAAATAAATGTGCCACAACCAAACTTGATGTAAAACAATTTCAAGGTGTTTCAAAACACATGTACAAAGAAAACAAAAAAGGATAAAATAAAAAATGAACCAAAACCCCCCACATACACTATGAATATTGAATTTTACAGGGAACAGTGAAGATGACATTTAAGGGTTTGACAAGCCACTTGACTGAATTAATCATTTTTAAATTATTTATTTAATTCCATGTGTTATTATTATTATTATTTTTAAAATTTGAACAGAGGGAGACAGAAAGGGAGAGGGAGAAAGCAAGGCACCAGGTCCAGGACTTGAACGACGGTCAGCCATGTGGGAATCCAGCACCCTTAACCACCACGCCACCTGCCAGCCCCACTGAGTTAATAATTTTGAGATCTGAAACAACCTGTCATTATTCTGATATCCTAAATATTTTAGGATAACGTCGGGAGTCTAATCTAAAATGTTTGAAATTAATCATATTTGACTTTTTTATCAATGAATTAAAAATGTATGGGGGCCAGCAGGTGGTGTGGTGGTTAAGCATTAGACTCCCACACAGCTGACCACAGTTTGAGTCCCAGTCCCAGCTTGAAAATAATGCTAGGCAGATGTGTATGTGTGCCCAAAATCCCAAGAGGAGAATGGAGGGGTTATTTCTCACTTTTCCTCTCTCCCTCCCTCTGTCTGTCTCTGGTGGGTGCACATACCCCATATCAAAAACCTAAAACACCGTGGGACCAGCAGTTAGCGTAATGGCTATGTCGCTGGACTCCCACGTAGTTGATTGCAGTTCGCGTCCTGGACCCGGTGGCTTAAACTCATGCCAGGTGCGTGTGCGTGCCCAAGATCCCGAGAGGAGAATGGAGGAGAAGGGATTGCGGCGTGGCCACCCCCCCTGGGGGGTGATTTCTCTCTTTCTGTCTCTCTGTCTCTCTCTGTCTGTCTGACGAGCGCATGCGCCCTATAGCAAAAACCTCTCAAAAAAAAAAGAAAAAACAAAAAACCTAAAAGACCGTAATGGCTATGTCGCTGGACTCCCACATAGTTGACCGTGGTTCAAGTCCCAGACTCGGTGGAAGGGATTGCGGTGTGGCCATCCCCCTGGGGGGTGATTTCTCTCTTTCTGTCTCTCTGTTTTTCTGGCAAGCACACGCGCCCTATAGCAGAAACCTCTCAAAAACTCAAAACAAAAACAAAAACAAAAAACCTAAAAGAGAAAAAAAAAAGTTGGGACCAGCAAATGGCGTAACGGTTACATTGCTGGACTCCCATGTAGTCAACCATGGTTCGAGTACCAAACGTGGCAGCTTAAAACTCACCCGGGGCACATGTGTGCATGCCCAAAATCCCAGGAGAAGAATGGAGGAGAAGGGACCCCTCTGGGGAGTGATTTTTTGCTTTCTGTCTTTCTCTCTCGCCACCCCTCAGGGGATGGCCATGCCGCAATCCCTTCTCCTCCATTCTCCTCTTAGGATCTTGGTCGTGCATGCACACGCACCCGGTGTGAGTTTAAGCCACCGAGTCTGGGACTTGAACCGTGGTCAACTACTTGGAAGTCTAGCGACATAGCCATTATGCCAACTGCTGGTCCCCAATATATATATATATATTTTTTTGCCACCCCTCAGGGGATGGCCATGCCGCAATCCCTTCTCCTCCATTCTCCTCTTAGGATCTTGGTCGTGCATGCACACGCACCCGGTGTGAGTTTAAGCCACCGAGTCTGGGACTTGAACCGTGGTCAACTACTTGGAAGTCTAGCGACATAGCCATTATGCCAACTGCTGGTCCCCAATATATATATATATATTTTTTTCCCAGTATGCGTATGCTCATCAAAGAGACAGAGACAGAGATAGAGAAGGAAAGTGACAAAGCAGCCCTGAGGGCGTAACCATATTGCAATCCCTTCCCCATTCTCATCTCAGGATTTGGGGCACACACACACATGCACCCTGGCATGTTTTTCAAGCTGCCAAATCCAGGACTTGAACCCTGTAGTCAGCTATGTGGAATCCAGCCGCCTTAACTGCCATGCCACCTGCTGGCCTGATACGATATTTTCAAAACAAACTTTTCTCCTGGGATACAAAGTTTAAACTTCTTCTTTATAGAAATTTTGAAACATACCAAAACTACAGCACAATTGGAGAAGTGTTATTTTAGTTCTGAAGTAAAATCTAAATATTAAAAGTAAAGACCCAAACATAAAGAGCCTAGTATTAGATTACATTTTGCAATGCCACGACACACCTCAAGGTGGTACTTTTTGTGTTATTGTTTATGGGCGAAGATGGTTCATTTCCCTTTTTTTTTTTTGGAGAGGTTTTTGCTATAGGGCGCGTGCGCTCGCCAGACAGAGAGAGAGAGAGATAGAAAGTGAGAAATCACCCCACAGGGGGGATGGCCACGCCGCAGTCCCCTCTCCATTCTCTTCTAGGGATCCTGGTTGCACACGCACACGCGCCCGGCGTGTTTTAAGCCACCGGGTCAGGGACGCGAACCACGGTCGACTACATGGGAGTCCAGCGACATAGCCATTATGCTAACTGCTGGTCCCTTTTTTTTTTTTTTGAAGATGGTTTATTTCTTTAAAAAAGTATTTAAATAGATAACCACTTTGTTTCATGTTACTTAATTCTGAGGCTTTTCCAAGATGGCCCGAGGGCAGATTTCCAGTAGCACCGGGGCTGGCCGCTATGCCTGAGTTCGCGGCCCCCCAGCGAGACTACGAGGGACCTGTTGGACTCCGAGCTGCCTCCGAGTGACGGGGAGGAACACTCGTCCTCTCTTGTCACCAGGGTGACACTAACACGTTTTACTGTCAGACCTGAGTTTCAGTTGTCGGGGCCACTAGGGACAGTGGCATCTGTGAGCGTCATCCCCAGAAACGCGCCACGCCGGCTGTGCCCTCAGCTCCTCCACGCCGTGATCCCCGCACGCAGACCTGGCATGCACACACCAACGTCAGCAAAGGCCCGCACCCCTGCCCCAGCCGCTCAGAAATACTGCCTTCTCCTAATTGTTATTACGAGTCAGACAAGTCCCACAAAACCGCTCTCAAGCTCGCCAAACGTTTTAGCACCATAAAAGAACATTTAAGACATGGGTGTAAGTTATCAATAATGATTCTCGTTGAAATGTTAGACTTCTCTGAGACTTTTGAGACCAGTTCTTTACTAGAGCGAAACTCTCTACTGACAATTTCTTTCTTTTTCTTTTTGGATAGGTTTTTTTTGCTATAGGGCGTGTGTGCTCACCAGAAAGACAGAGAGACAGAAAGCAAGAAATCACCCCCCGGGGGGGATAACCACGCTGCAATCCCTTCTCCTCCATTCTCCTCTCGGGATCTTGGGCATGCATGCAAACAAACCTGGCATGAGTTTAAGTCACCGGGTCCGGGACTCGAAATGCGGTCGACTACATGGGAGTCCAGCGACATAGTCGTTACACCATCTGCTGGTCCTTCTACTGACAATTTCTGAGAGAATTAAATTCTTCGGCTTTTAAGTGCCAGAAAGTGTTACATGGGGCTTTAATCTGTTTAAATAAGGGTAGAGGCCAGTAGGTGGCATAGTGGTTGAGGCGTTGGACTGCCACGTGGTTGACCATGGTTCAAGCCCTGGACCTGGCATCTTGAAACTCATGCTGAGGGACCAGCAGTTAGCATAATAGCTATGTTGCGGGACTCCCATGTATTCGCCTGTGGTTTGAGTCCTGGACCTGGTGGCTTAAACTCACTCATGCTGGGTGTGTGTGCGTGCCCAAGATCCCGAGATGAGAATGGACGAGAAGGGATTGCTGAGTGGCCATCCCCCGGGGGATGATTTCTCGCTTTCTGTCTCTCTCTGTCTTCCTGGCAAGTGCACACGCTCTATAGCAAAATATATCAAAATTAAAAATAAATTTGCCTGAGGGTATGTGCACTTGCTGGAGAGGGGTAGGGGTAGTGAGAAAGCACTGGGAGTGCTCATGCCAAATCCCTTCTCCATCCCCCTCCTTTCGGGCTTGTGAGTGTGTGCACACAGGCCTGCTGTGACTCTCAAGCCGCCGTATGCAGGACTTAAACCATGAGGCCAGCCCTGTGGGATCCACCACGCCACAGCTGAGCGTAAACGCAGTTTGTTTTTAATCTAAGAAACTTCAAATGAATTGTTCCATAGAAAAATCCAAGGGGGTTTTAAGGGGTAAAGGCCCAGATCAGAGCTGCTCTGGGTAAAACCCTCCTTGTGCTCCCTCAGCCCCAACCCTTGCAGAGCGCGGGGGCCCAACACTGAAAACCACAGAGCAGGGTGAGTCCTCGAACTGCCCTGGCACCGTGGTCTCCCTTGTCTCTCCCAGTTCCCACTGTGCTCCTAGGGAGAGAACCACGGGTCCGGAGGGAAGCCAACCATATCCTTAGCATAGAAGTCCCTTCGGTAGCTACTAGGCCTTAAGGCTTTTTTTCTGGGACCAGCAGGTGGCGTGATGGTTACATAGCTGGACTCCCACATGGCCAGCGGTGGTATGAGTCCTGGACCTGGCACCTTGAAACTCTGGAAGCAAGTGCATGCACGCCCAAAATCCCGAGAGGAGAATGGAGAAGGGATTGTGGCATGGCCATCCCCCGGGGGTGGTGGTGGTGGGGGTGGTGATTTCTCCCTCTGTCTCTCTGGTGAGCACACGTGCCCTGTAACAAAAATCTCTCTAAGAAAAAGAACAGATTTCTCAATATATTTATGAGTAAAGCAATCAAATAAACATGGTTACTACTTTTCATGTGGCCCTGTTATTCCTTAACAGATGAAAGTTTGGCGTTT